ACGTGTGCACCATGGCCAGGTGACCCTGTACATTTTGGATTTTGTGGTTCCCTCTGGAACCTTTATCTTCCCATGTAAACTCCAACACAATTTTACTAAACGAGATACTACAAACCCCAAAACTCTGTCAGGAATCCGTGACATGTCATTAAACTTAAACATAAAGTTTAGAATAATTGACTTGTTGTTGCTGTAGGTGTCTCACTTTGTTTCCCAGGCTGGAGTGCAGTGGCACGATACCAGCTCACCACAGTCTCGATCTTGGGCCCAGATGATTCTTCAGCCTCAGCCTCCCAAGTAGCTGGGATTTCAGGCATGCGCCACTGTGCCTGGCTAATTTTTTTTATTTTTGTAGAGGTGAGGTCTTACTATGTTGCCCAGACTGGTCATGAACTTCTGGGCTCAAGCCGTCCTCTTGCCTCAGCTTCCCAAATTGCTGGGATTACAGACATGAGCCACTGCACCAAGCCAGAATTGACATTTTTATATTAAAAGTTCTTATCCAGAAAAATAATGTCTATTTTGTGTTCTTAAATACGATTTTATAGTTTCCTTCATATTGATGATATTAGCCAGGATCTGCAAACCGGAAGCCACTCCAGGTCCTTCAGTAGAGGGAATTTAATGCAGGGAGTTGGTGGTATGGGTGCCTCTATATGGTGATGAGGCATGGGAGCAGGAAGGAGGTCACTTCTACACCAGGACTGGGACTGGAGGGACTTGCGCAGTAGCTCTGACCATGGGGAGGACTCCCGCTTCATCTAGGGCTGTGCAGAAGGGGCTTTTCAGCAGGAGCTGCAGCACACAGGTGATCCTGTAGCTGCTGGGGGTGTGTTGGGACAGGGAGGAAGGGAGGGAGAGAAACATCCTTGCTTTCTTTTTCCTCCTGCCCTTCAATCTTGGGTCAGCACCTCCTCTTGGCCACACCTACTGGAAGCTAGAGGGAAAGGGAGCCTGGAGCACTCAGCAGAGTGGTACAGGATGCAACTCTGAGCAAAAGCAGGCACGTGGGTCCCAGGTCAGGCTCTGTTTATCTCTAAGTAGTTCGTGGTTTTGTCACTATTGTAAATAGACCATTTTTTTTCTCTTTTGCATTTCTAGATATCTATTATTTGAAAAGAGACAATATATTGATTTCTGCATATGATACGACATCCTCTCACCCTATCTCATTTTCTCGCTAATTCTTATTTTTTAATACAATGCCTGGGGTTGTAAAAACGAACCATTTTCACTTTCCCAGCAGGTATATTTTGTATGTCATTTTCTTGCTTATTTGCATCTGCTCAAACTCCCAATACAAAACCAGATAATAATAGTAGGCCTCCATGGCTGCACTCCGATTTTGATATAAATAGCATGGTGCTTCATGTTTTGGATATCACTGGCATCAGTGGTCGAGCCATCCCTGAAGGACAGCATGGAGGCAGCTGCAAGGTTGATGGGTTCCACTCTAGGAGATCTGGCTGCACGGGAGACAACACACCCTAGAGGGTTCAAACAGTGTGCTTCTTACAGACAGCAAAGGCGAGATCAGCACAGGATCAGTTCCCCATGTCCCCAACCCTACAGGATGACTGAGGGTCAGGTGATAGCTGGCTTGAGTAGGAGGCTGCTCACCTTGAGGAGCCCCCTCTAAACTATATCCAAGCGGTTGTACAGACTACAGACTTGAATAGACATATCTTCATAGAAAATATACACATGACCAATGAGCACATGAAGAGCTGCTCAATATTGTTCCCTGTCAGGGAAAAACACACCAAAACCATGAAAAGGCTCCTGAAGATGGCTAGATCCAAAGGACAGGTAATGACAAGTGCAGATGAAGATGTGAAGAAATGGGAACCCTCGTGGAACCTGCAGCTTCGTCAGGACAAGGGAATGTGGGGGTGGGATGGAAGTCTTGTTTTGTTCTTAAACTGTTTCTAAATGATGCTATTTGTCTCAGCAGAAACTAGGGTAATAGATGAGCAACACTTAGAGGGGTCCTCACACAAAAGTGGAAGGGGACCTGCCCTCAGGGGCTTCTCACCAGGTGTACGTTCCCTTGCTCCAGGAAGAATTTCACACAGAGCTCAGGTCAGACTGTGAGTGAGCCTCCTCTAGGAGGCTCATGAGATGTGCAAGAGATGTGCAAGATCTCCGGACACTGTGGTAGGGCCGTTCCCCTACAGCTTCCTGTTGGACTTTGAGGTTTCTCTTTATTTTAAAAGTTTCCTTATAGCAATATTTTTCTCAAGATTTTTTTTGCAGGACTAATGGCTGAGTTTTTATCAAGTGCCTTTTCTACATCTATTGATAGAATCATATCGTTGTTTGATATACTAAATTTTGTAGCTAGATTTCTTGGTATTGAGTCATCCTTGCATTCCTAAAAATAGTGTACTTGAAAATAGTGGATTTTTAAAAATATACTTCTGGATTCTGTTTGCTGATATTTTATTTAAATTCTTTTTGCATGTATATTTTAAGTGACTCCGTTTATAGTTATCTTTTCCTGTTCAATTTTAATTACATAATTAAAGTTTCACTGACCCCATAAGTTGAACTGGGAAGTCTTCCATCTTTTTCCCATGTCCAAGAATGTTCAAAATAACATTGAAATTATTTGTACTATTATATAGGTAAAGTCAACTTTGACTTCTCTGGTCCTGGTGACTAAAATAACTTCATTGAGATCAAATGTATATACCATATGCATCACCTAGTTAAATTGTACAAATTGATGTGTTTTTTTGGTATATGCACAGAGCTATGTAACCATCATAATAATCTAACTGCAAAACACTTTTGTCCCTCATAAAAGAAGCCCCTTATCTATTTACAGTCACTCCCATTCCTCTCTATTCCCACCCTGCCCCAAGCAAATTTAAAGCCACTTTCTGTTTTTATAGATTTGCCTATTTTAAAAACTTCATACAATGCATTCACAGAATATGTGGTTCTTTGTCACTGGCTTCTTTCACTTGGTATAAGGTTTTCAAGGTTAATTCTTGTAAACATTTTTATAGAATGTATCAGTATTTCATTCCTTTATTGCCAGCTAATGTTTCATTGTACAGATATAACATCTTTTACTTATCTATTTATCAGTTGGTGAATATTGGGAATGTTTCCATTTTTGTCTATTATGAATAGCGCAGCCATGAAGATTTGCATGTAGAAATTGTGGACATATATTTTCATTTCTCTTGGGCACATACATGCAAGAGTGGAATGACTAGGTAATATGGTAAATCTATGTTTAACATTATAAGAAACGGTCAGCTCTTTCCAAAGTGAATGCATCGTTTTACAGCCTATCAGGGAAGCATGAGGGCTCCATCTTCATTATCTTGCCATTGTTTGCCATTTGACTCTAGCCATCCTCAGGAGCATGGAGTGGAAGCTCATCATGGTTTTGGTTTGTACTTCCCTGATGAGAAATGATATTGAGCAGCTTTTCATGTGCTTATCGGTCATTTGTATATTTTCTTTGAATAAATGTCTATTCAAGTCCTTTGCCCACTTGTACGTGGTATTAGTTATTTGTCTCTTTTGTTATGGAGTTACAAGAATTTTTAAGTAAATTATCGGTATAAATCTTCTACCAGATATATGCTTTTCAAATATTTTCTCCCATTCTGTGGCATTGTATTTTAACTTTCTTGATGGTATTATTTGTAGCATAAATGTTTAAGTTTTTATGTAGTCCAATTTATCTATTTCTGGTTGATGCTTTTGCTTGTGCTCTTAGTGTCATATCTGAGAAATCATTGCCTAACCCAAGGTCATGAAGATTTACATTTAGATTTTATTCTAAGAGTTTTATAGTTTTATCATAGAATTTACAACTATAGTTTTATAATTTATTTCCTTGGGCTTAGTTTACTCTTCCTTTTCTGCTTTCTGAAGTTAAAAAGGAGGTTAATCAATCTTTCTTCTTTTTAAATACAGGCATACATCGGCATGCAATTTTATCTGAACATCTTTCCTTCCTTATTTGCATCTCATAAGTTTTGGTATGCTGTTTCATTTTTATTCATCTAAATGCATTTCTGATTTCCCTTGAGATTTCATCTTTGATTTTGACCCTTTAGACAGTGTGTTTAGCAAGTGTGTTGCCACTATTTGTGAATTTTAAATTTTATTTTATTGTTGATTTCTAATTTAATTCCATTGTGATTGAAGAAAATACATTGTATCATTTAAATTATTTTAAATTTATTGAGGTATGTTTTATTTTCTAAATAAAAACATGATCTATCCTGAAGAACTGTTCTATGTGTAATTGAGAATAGTGTCCATTCTGCTGTTGTTGAGTAGTATATTTACGTTGGTTAGGTCTAGTTGTTTATACTGTTGTTTTCTTGTTGATCTTCTGCCTAACTGTTCCATTAATTATTAAAAGAGGTGTATCAAAGTCTCTAAGTATTATTACTAAATTAACTATTTTCTTTTTACGTTCTGTCAGTTTTGTCTCACATGTCATCTATGTCTCTTGCTAGTTACATCTATGTTTAAAATGGTTATATATTCCTGATGAATGGACTTTTTTATCATTGTGAAATGTTCTTCTTTCTCTCTAGTGACTTGTTTTTGTTTTGAAGTTTATTTTATCTGATCATACTGGAGCCACTCCAACTCTCTTATGATTGTTGTTTACATAGTATATTCATTTCCATCCTTTCACTCAATCTATTTTTTTTTTTTTTTGCTGCTATGGAATTGTTTTATTAAACATGAACATACTTTGTACAAAAACAAGTAACACCTCCTCCTTTCCTCTGCCCCCGGAGGCCACCATCCAGAACCTCACGTTCATATAAACACGCTGTCATGACAAGCAGGTGAAGGAAAGTGCAATTCTAAAGTAAATGCCACACGACCACAGTGGGAATGGCATGGGCAGAGGCCAGCGGTTCTTGGCAAGCACTCTGCCCACAGGCACGGGCCTTGCTCATCTCGCGGCAGGAAACATTTCAGGAATAGAGGCTCCAAGCACACATTCTTGGTAGCATCTCTCTTCCAATCCCATCCATCCTGATGTTGTAACTAGCTTATTTGTAACTTCTCCAAGAAATTCTGCCCTGGTTACATCCTGTGAATTGTTTATCACCCTTTGAACTTCAAAAAAACCCCAAAAACAAACGCAGAAGAGCAGTAAATGTCAAAAGGACGTCAGTTGAGACGTTTCATAGATGAAATCTACTTCCTAGAAGTCACCTGGCCAAACATCTGCACAGCCGGGGACATCAAGATTGTGAAGCCAGGTCCAGATGAAAAATATCTCAGGTACCCAGTTAGATCCAGTTATTCTGCATCTGTGGATTTAAAATGATCATCATCCACAGTAGAATAGATGTGCCCCTCATTGCTCAGAAAATCCACAGCTTGCTTGATGGAGGGGACCGTCATGTGTTTGAGCTGGTTCCTGAGATCCTGAAAGTTTAATCCTTCAGGTCTTGGGCAAGCCTTAATCAAATTCAGTACCTGGTTCTGGGCTACAGTGAGGCCATTTGCAGGTATGAAGTTATTGCCACTGAAGCTCCCTGCTTCGCTCATTCCTAGGTTGCTGACAGGTGCTCTCCCTGCTGAGGGCTGGCTGTTGGACTTGTTCAGTACCATGTGTGCATTGACTACTTCCAGCATACGTGTGGTGAACTCATTCATATCCTCCAGGGGCATGATCTTAAAGGCCACCAGGCTCTTTTTGTTCTGAAAGGATCTCAGGTGACCTGCCACTTTCACATATGTTTCTGGAGGAACCACAGTGTTTTCACCACTGGCGTCATCTGTGTCAACCCACTGGCGAACATCCATGGGTGCAGTTGTCATGTCATCTATTTTGTAAACAATGTTGGTTGGAGCCTTCTCTGCATGTCTGATTATCCCCACAATAGTGACCTGTGAAATCTCAACATTCCCAATTCTGAACACTTCATCAACCAGAGTGGCAGAAAGCAGCTGAGATATGGTACAGGGTACAATGTACTGGGCTCGGGCTCTCGATTTCTTTTCGGCCTGGGATGCGGTGGGTGACCCAAAGCCTCCCGGGGACTGTGTATAGCCGCCGGCTCCCCCGTAGGAGGAGCCACCATAGTTTTCAAATCCACTATTCCACATCATGATCACGGTTCCCTCCGGAGAGATGCCCAGAAGTTTCGAATCTGGTGGGCTCGCAGAACGCCTCAGAAGCCGGTTGCTGTTGCAGCGCTTGTGTCTACTTTTTTCTGGCCCACTCAATCTATTTTTATCTTTGAATCTAAATTGCATCTCTTGCAGACAACATATAGTTCAATCTTTTAAAAATGTAATCTGACAACCTCTGCCTTTTGATTGAACTGTTTAATTTTTTCATATTTAATGTTACTGTTGATATAGTTAGATATACATCTGTCATTTTGCTTTTTCCTGTATGTCTTATATCATTTTTCTTCCACTCTTCCTCTTTTATTGCTGTATTTTGTATTGAGTAAATATTTTCAAATGCAGCACTAAAAACCACTAATTCCTTTAATAACTTTTGCATTCTATTTTGAGTTATTTTGGGTAGTTTCTTTATGGTTTACAGTATGCCTTTTTATTTTAAAGAAGTGGGGTACAACTCAGGATACAGTATGTCTTAATTTATCAAAATCTAGTCCAGCTTTATGTTGACTTACTGCCAGTGAAATATAAAAACTTTAATATTGCTTCATTCTTTCCTACTTTTGTGCTACTATTATATGTCTTGCATCTGTATATGTTACAAACCCAACAATAAATTGTGAAAATTATTCTTTATATAACCCATATCTTTTATAAGAAGCTGAGAGAATGAAGATCAAGTCTGTATTTATAGAGTTTGTTATATTAACCTTCTGATCTATCCTTTTTTATTTTCATTTTTCTGTGGGTTTCAGTTACTATTTTATGTCATTTTCATAATTTAATACAGTTTTTCCTCACCATTATTTTTCTGTTAAATATGTTACATGTCTATGGTATAGGTCCATCAATACAACTCTATGAGGTCTGACAATTAAGTTCACAAACTTGCTACCATGTGCTTATATTAGCAGCACTGTACAAAAATCTCAGAAAGGTTTTATCACCTTGACATATCAGTGTCTCATGTTCATGTTGATGTGTGGCAACATCTTACTGAGTGGCATTCATTATTGTTATTGCATGTTTTTGTGTGCCATTGTGAGAATGTTGGAGCTTGAATTAGAGCAATGGACAAACATCAAATTTCTTGTTAAACGTGGCAAGTGTGAAAGTGAAATCAGGGGCATGCTAGTCCAAGTTTATGGAGATAACACCATGAAGAAAATGACTGTGAATTAAAAGTTTTTCTAAGGGGAAAGAAAGTATCACTGATGAAGTGAGGTCAGGATGGCCAGTAGCTAGCAGAACTGCTGAGAATATTCCAAAAATTCAACAAATTGTGTGTCAAAATCATCAGCTGTTGTTATACTTACCAGTGTTTCACATTTCACTGGGACTCTGTTCACTTATTTTAATTTTTTTCTACTTATTCCTCAAACTGATTTAACATTAAATTTGTCAATTATTTCTTCTGCTGATTCAAATCTACTGTTGAGACCCTCTAGTGAATTTTCCATTTTACTTCTTATACTTTCAATCTTGAGAATTTTAATTGACATCCCTACCTCAATAAGTGCACCCAATACCTAAATCTTGGTTTCTAATATCTTTCTTACAACAAGAGAACCATAACTTCTTGGATAAAATGACTGATTCTAGGCCTGGGATCGGAATTACACAAAAGGAGCTTTTAGCATCCTATAGTGCCAGAAAATAAAGAAGTCTTAAAAAAAAAAAAAAAACCCACGATGAAATTATAGCTGGGAGACATAGGAGCCACCTAAAAGAGTCCCCAATGTCCACAGCTGGAATAATTTGAGCAACAAAATAAACTAGTACAAGATTATAACCCAAAGCATAAAATGTTTACAAGTCCATACTGATTATATAAATGAGAGACAAAAAAGAACTTATTTATAAAAATTGTGCATTTATTCTTACATGTTTAAACTTCAGCCACCTTTAAAGTACTCTCCATTTGATGCAATACACCTATTAAGACACTTTTTACACTGCTCAAAACGGTTTTTGAACACATCAGTTTTGATGCCTTTTAGTGCTTCTGCTGTTTTTTGCTTCACCTCTTCCACCAGCAAACTGTTTCCCTTTGAGGACTTTTTCATCTGGGGAAACAAAGAAATTTGCTCAGGATGAGATTGAGTGAATGGAGGAGTATAGGGGTTATGCTGATTTTGTTCAAAAACTGCTGAACACTCAGTGTGGTATGGACAGGTGTGCTTGTAAGTCACCCATCATGAAATGGGCAAACGTGGAATTTAAAAGAAAAAAAAAATTCACTGAAGTCCAACAAGTCTCTCACAATAATGCTAGCTGGTGCATTGATGCCAGTGGGTTCCTAGAACACTTACCTAGTGGAGAAAGCCTATACTACAAGGGGGTGCCCTCCAAAAGATAATTCCGGTTTTTGGGGGGGCTCCCTCCTCATACACAAACACACACACACACACACACACACACGAACAAATACATGAAAGAGACAAATATCCCATGCAGAAGAATTCCAAATAATTTACATAAATACTCTCTTCTGCCCACTCTGTAAGTGTGGACTGCTCATAGTGAGTTTCTTCCAAAGTCTACAGTAGAAAAATAGGGGGAAAAAGTAATTTACAGTGAAGAAGTCTGGAAAACATTGCCTCAGTCCAGTGACTGGAGTGCACGCCAACAGTACTAAGTTGTGTTGATGGTGTGTACCCTTGAAAGGCTGTGATGAGATGACACTTTTCTGCGGTCTTTCACTCCTAAGCCCCAAACCCCTTCAGTCTAATCATGAAAAAAATTAGACCCATTTCAGTTGAGAAACAGCTGACAAAACACCTCCTATTTTTCTCCCATTTGAGTTCTGATATTCATCTTCCAAGTCTCTTATCTGTTTTGTTATGATTTCCATCTCCTTATGTATTTTTTCTCTTGTCTCATATTTTAAATATTTTATCTTCCAAGTCACTGACTTGAGTTCAATGGTGATCATGCTATACTTCAATCTGTCTTCTAAAATTATTCCTTTTAACTCCAAGTAACAAAATGTACCCTGTACTTGGGTCTCCTTAAGTTCTTGTTTTTGTCATCATTTTTAGTCAGCTTGCCTTGCTTTCTCCAGCTTGCTCTGTCCCTCTTGCTCTGCCAGTTCACGTGGCAGACAGGTAAGCCCCCTTATTTAGGCTGTCTTCTTCCTTGGCTTACTGGAACTCCGACATGATTGCTGTATTACCTACAAACAGCAGTTCTGCAGTGGTCAAGGTCAAGTGGACTCTTCCTTGCTGTGTGCTGGTGGTGTAGGAGCCTCGTGAGTCTCCTAAGTTTCTTCCTTCTAGTCTTTTCCTATTGTCCCTGGTCTGGACTAGGGAGGACTCGGCTCATAAAGTGGATAGATTTTTTTTCTTTTTTTCTTTTTTTTTTTGAGTTGGAGTCTCACTCTGTCACCCAGACTGGAGTGCACTGGCCGCTCCCGGCCACCGCAGCCTCGATCTGCTGGGCTCTGGCGATCCTTCTGCCTCAGCCTTCCAAATATCTGGAACTACAGGTGCACGCTACCACGCCCAGCTACTTTTTTTGATTTATTGTAGAGATGAGATCTCGCCAAGTTGCCCAGGCGGGTCTCGAACCCACGGGCTCAGGCAATTCACTCACCTCAGCCTCCAAAGTGCGGGATTACAGGCTGAGCCGCCGAGCCCGGCTGATTTTTTTTTTTCCTTTTTTGAGTCTGAGTTTCAGTCTCGCCGATTAAGTCTCACCGCAGTCTTCGACCTGCTGGGCTCAGGTGATCCTTCCACCTCAGCCCCCTGAGTAGGTGGGACTACAGATGCATCCACCAAGCCCAGCTAATTTTTGGAGTTTTTGTAGAGACGAGGTCTCACTATGTTGCCCAGGTTGATCTCAAATTCCTGGCCTCAAGCAATCCTCCCACCCGGCCTCCCAAAGTGCTAGAGTTACAGGCGAGAGTCACTGCGCCCAGCCTAGAGATGGGTAGATTTGAGAATGGAGAGAACAAAGTCATGCTTCCAGTATCCCTCTCCCACCATGAAACGTGAAGTCACATCAGACTTCTCTACAAACAGCCCGATTCTGTGCCCTTGGCTTGAGGTAGAGATCAGATGTCACCATGAGGACTCAGTGGCCAAAGCCACCTGTCTCTGGGACTTCTCAAAGGAAGTTGCATTTCTGACTCCGCCAAGGACGACGTGTCTCCAAACATCAGTTCGTTAATGTTTTGCGAGTCACAAATTTTGCAACCAAGTGGCATAAAGGGATAGCTTTTCTCTCCCACAGCAGTGACCTGTCAGGGACCACTGGAGCAGGGTAATGAGAGTGGCTGAAGGAGACATCCAGGGACGCGGGGACCCGCCTCCCGAATGCGAGCCCAACACCTCCGAGTGCATCCACGGTGGCAGAAAGGGGCGAGCTCAGGCTCTGGGAATAGCCAATTAATCACAACGCTGGAAGTTTTTTGAAAACCAATTTATTCGTTGGCTCCTCCTTCCCTTCTTCCTTCATCGACTCACCCTTGGCTCCACAGCGGGCGTGTGAGTGAATGGATGTGCTCTGTGGCCTTGGTTGTCCCCCCGGGCTCACGACACCCAGATCTTCTTGACCAGCTGCCTGATCCCAGATGCATCTGGCCGCAGCTACCCGGCTTCCCCCAACAGTGCACCCAGCACCCCTGACTCAAGTGTATGACCTCAACTCACTTCCTTGACCCGAGACCACACCTCCTTCTTCAAGGGGGTGGAGGAAAAAAACAGAATGAGTGTCCGTAAGTCCAGTCACAGCCCTGCCTGACCCATCTTTAGGCTGCACCCACTGTCTGGGACACCTGAACCCATCTGGGGGGCAGCAAGGGACAGGACAGACTGTGTGCTGCACTGGCAGTGCTGTGGGCACACATCCCAGAATCAAGAGTTGATGACAGCCACTCGGGGGAGGCAGGCCCTGGGTCTCGGGCCTGGAGGAAGAAATGCAGCTAGATAACCTCAAAGGGCCCCAGATGCCTGAACTCTCGGCTGCATATGTGGTCAGCTGATGTGTTTGCAGCAAACTTTTGCTCAGGAGAGAACTGAGTTTATCTGTTTCCTGAGTCAGTCACTACTTTTAAGGAACTTCCCCAATATGGGTAATATATTACA